GAGTTGCTTTTTTCCTAAACAGAGCAACAGCCAATTTTCTTTATCTCAGAAACATCATCTTTAGAGCCAACGTTAATGGTCTGTCCCTTAGGTAAAGCCGCTGGATCATCACCGACCTCAAGAGCTTTCCTGCTGACGACATGATATATCTGACTTAGAACTTCTGTGAAGGCATTTTCCACATTCATAGATTCCAGAGCAGAGGTTTCCATGAAATACGTGCTTTCTCTTTCAGCAAATGCCTTTCCATCTTCTGTAGAAACAGCGCGCAAGTGACGCAAGTCTGCCTTATTTCCAACAAGCATGATAACAATGTTTGAATCCGTGTGATCCCTGAGTTCCTTTAACCACCTCTCCACATTTTCAAATGTAACATGACGCGTAACATCATACACAAGCAATGCACCAACAGCTCCTCGATAGTAGGCACTTGTTATTGCACGATAGCTTCAGCAAAAAGCATACATTAAGGCAAAAAATTCACACAGCAGGAAATCAAACTTCGCTAGTTGAGCACAAATATTCAACTAAAAGATATGTACTAAAAACAAGTCAAAGAACTTGAGAAAATTAGAGGAATAAATGGAGTCCAGATTTTTTGAGGTTGGGGGAAGGGGCCAATATAATATCCATTTATGAACGTATTACAATTAAAAATATTCATGAGAACCAAAGAAGTTCTTGCATTGACCTGTAGTCTCTAGATAGCCGAAGATATTTAAGGAAATTATAATCATACTACCGGACTCTAAACGTTAATATGCACCAACATCTCAAACCGTGAAAAACACCTCAAGAAGCTAAAAATTCACACGGGAAGTAAAACAACAATCAAGGTAACAGATAAAGGTAAGCAGCCTCCAGAAAACTAATGGAGACAACAGTCCAAGATCAGTTCTGTTATTAAATGAAAAATGCAAAGTGGTCAGATAAAATTCTTAAGCAAACCTAAAACCTTGTCGTGATCAGCATTGCTGACTGATTTAATAACTTAAATAAACACTAAATGAAACAACCACTTCAAATTCAGGAGAGGTACAACACAAAAAATCTTAGATTTTAATTGTTTAAAGATCAACTCAAAACTAAACACTTCCATGAAAAATAATGCATGTTCTTCTATTCGAAACCGAGAGATCTGAACTCGAAAGTGTAAGATCTTACCCAATTGAATTCATCTGTATAACTAAGAGCGGTTACAGAAAAAAACAAAAGGTTTAATTCCAAATCCCCAGATCTAACCCTGCAGCACTCGTCGAAGTAGGAATCCACATTTCATTCAACAAAAAACTCAATACAACCAGTTCACATTAATTAACCCATAATACACTCAAACACTACCAACCCAGTTCTCAAATTTCTGTACTGGATAAAGCACTTTACTTAAAAAATTAATAAACCCAGATATCAATTATCCCTGCAGGGCTTACACAGTAACACATACATATACATATAGATTAATTTACATTTGAAAAATGGAATATGTACCGTTCTTGGCCAGCAGTGTCCCAAATCTGGGCTTTAACAACTTTATCATCGACGCGGATGCTTCGAGTGGCGAATTCAACGCCGATAGTTGACTTGGACTCCAAACTGAACTCGTTGCGGGTGAATCTCGAAAGCAAATTCGATTTTCCAACACCAGAATCGCCGATTAGCACCACCTTGAACAAGTAATCATAATCATCGTCAGCTCTGTAAGCACCCATTTTCACTTGTGTGTATACGTATATACGTATATACATACACTATATGTGTCTCTATAAATCTAGGTTTTGCGTATAATATCATAAGCCATGATCCTCGTTCTTATCAAAAATACATTTTTCTCCATTTTATTTTCAACTATAAATTTTTCAATAAAATAGAGCAATTCAGCAAAAGAATACGAGTATTCATGAGTTTTATTCTGCTATGACAGATCTTTGTAATCAATTGACTCTTACATAATCGACTGAATTAAAGGCATGTGGTGCATATATTGCTCGTAGAGAGCATCAACGGTTGATATTTATTAACCACACATTCCCCATCAAATCACTATTTCAAAATACATTTTTATCAAATAATATGGCTCAAACAGGTCCCAAGTGAATGTTTCATGTGTTATATTTTAGTGTATATTGTGTACGAATTCAAAAGGTATTGGACGAACAAGTGCGTTATTTTTAAAAAGGGTTTAATCATGTGTTCATAAAAAATAATGTAAAATAATATGTACATATAACATGGTTGAATATCAATTTTGGAAATTGGAATGGAGGAAAGGTTGAAATTTGAATCTAAGCTCCTGTTTGGCTCCCATTATTGTTGATTTTTTGGGGGTTGAAAATTTTTAGAATAGTGATTGATGGGAAATGTGTGGTTGAAAAGTTTTAGATTTGTGTGTATTATTATTTTATTTGATGAATGTATGGTTGAGATGAAGAGAGAAAAAAAATTAATCTAATGTAATGGAAAATAATGGGGGCCAAACAGGGACTAAATTGAAGCCAAGTTTTTTACACCCGTTATGAAAGATGGCCTGGCAGACTATTTTTCCTCTTGGTTTATGTTGATTTTTGGATCCCAAGAATAATTTTTGTATTTTCGATTTCGATTGTAATACTGGCACATGTATAAATTTGGCTTTGCCTAATTTGTTTTGCATTTACAAACCTTGAATTTTCATAATCTCAATGCATTTGTAAATAACTGGTAACATTGGGGCTAGGAGTGGGTGTGGGTTGGGTCGATTTTTTACCCAACCCAATACGGTCGGTTTGATCAAAAATCAAATCAACACAACCCATTTATGTGTTCCAACCCAATGGAATCCAATCAAGTTTCGATCGGGTTGGTCGATTTGGACATTAAAAATCATAAAATTATATTCCGACAATAAAAACATATTAACCACGTGAAATGTATAAATAAAAAATGCTAAAGAAAGTAAATAGAGGCATCTTGTACCTGCAATTAAAACTGCATTTGTTTTCAAATCAAAGCTTAACAAGAAATGGAAAAGATTAATCAAAAATCCACTACAACAACTTTTTAATAGCATAACCAAAAGTTAATTTATAAATTTGGAATAATTATAGATACTCAGTGCAACTTCGTCAAGATTTTAAAGTGCAAAAGTTCTAAAAGATTTCACCGACAAATTTTAGCAATTAAGAAATTTACAAAAAAATACTTTCCCATTTCTTGGTGAGAAAATAAGAGAGGCGGCGCGAGTGGAGTTGAACTATGGGAGCGAGAGAGAGAGAGGAGGAGGAAGATTATTAGGTTAGGATTGTGTAATTGCGTTTTTTAACTTGTTTGTTCCATGACTTTTGCCTTTGGGAATGTAGTTGCCTTTTTTTTTTTTTTTTT